AAGGTAAAAGCATTCAGTAAACTAAGTAAGAAATAGACACATGCTATACGTGTTTGCAAATACTGGAACAATTCTAATGCTGGTATCGGATCCAATGATCACTTCTGAACAATTGTTTTCTTTGCTTGTTGGCCTACTCTACCCACTGTGAGCAGAACTATTCCACAACAGGCCAAAATACTGGGTTCTCTGTTCAGTGCAATCTGTGGAAAGATACTAACAAAGCACTGGGCATTTCTACCGCCCTTATCCCCATCTTGCAGCTTTTAAAGCCCCGCTAGCTGAACATAATGCTGGAAAGCTTGATGGAGAGAGACTCAGGAATGTCACAATTGTAAGCATACGTGGGGCTAGAAGGAAGATTGACATTTTTACCTCCCCAGGTGAGAGATGGAAAATGGATTGAGAGAGAAGATCCAGGTGAGGACTAGGAGGATGGCTAGCTGCCAACTAATATTTCTAGATTAATTGTCAGGAATCCTCTATTGCCTCTGTGAAATAGAGTTCTGTTTAGCCTTGTATATAATTATTTCTGCTTTAGGTTTTATTTTCCCTTTGGTTGTGAGCTGTTAGATTAGGTCATTTATTTTATATTGTTTAATATTGTTTGATAAATATATTAACCTGATGATATTAATTCTACTTATAATTTTTCCTTTTCAATTATTCAGTTTATTGCTGTTCTGATTTTTTGAGACATTTTGGGCAGTATCTAGTAGGATTTTTTTTTCAAATGAACTATTGAGCAGTTTATATTTTAAATGAATAAATATTAATAGTATTATGTCATGTATACATTTATTGTTAACTAGGGAGTGACCCTAACATTTTGAGAACATGTATTTTCTTAACAGGGATGTTATTATTTACTATTAATGTCAGTACTATTTTTATTTTTTGTTTTTTTTCTTAATATATTGTAAAAAGTGATGTCTATTGCTGGTCTATGATCATAATAAAGTTATTATTATTATTACTAGCTGTACCCGGCCACGCGTTGCTGTGGCTCAGTCTGGTAAAAGCGTGTGTTGCTTTTACGTCCAACAGATGGCGCTGTTTTTCAAAAAAAGCATGTTTTTACCTGTCACAGGTGTGACATCTATATAATATAGGTATATAAAAACACGCGCGTATTCGAATGCAACGTTGTGTCAAAATTTCAAAGCAATCGGTGAAGAACTTTTGGAGATTTAAGATTTTGAACAAACGAACATTTACATTTTTATTTATATAGATTGTGAATTGGATCCAGAAATACACAAACAAAAAGAAGTCTTATAGCTGTGCAGTTCTGGGAGCTTTTGTTTACAAGTTAATGGACGTCACTGTGATAATGTACAGATAGTGGTGGACTACTTAGGATAAAATAAATATTCTGGGGTGAAATTTTGGCTCTACCTAGACTCATGGACAGTTGCACCTTATATATGAAAAACAGACTTGGATTTAACTTATTGTGGTCTATCCTGTCCTAGTTATATGCTGTATGGATCCAGATAAAGCTCACACAGAGCTTAAGTGGAGAGTTTTGTTCAACCAGAAAGACAGTTCCATGCAGAAAGGTACACTGGTGTGATTTCATGCTTTGCTCATTCCTCACTAGAGGAATACACAGCATTACAGTATTCCTTTTATAGAATCATCCTTGTGTACATTCTGAGGCAAGTGTTGTTAGATTGCTCCCTACAGTATGTCACACCTGGTATTGAGATCTCAATCATCCACTTATTAGCAAGCTTTCCTACAGATCACAGTCAGTAATGAAAGATCAACTGCTACAAGATCACTACACTGAAACATCTAACAGGTCACAAAGTTCCTAGCTGCAGTTAAGATAATTAGAAACTGATGGGTTCATTCTATAACCAGTTAAGTGGGTGTGAATAAAAGAATCTCAGCTGCTGCAGTTAGAATCAAATTGCCAATTTATGCAATTTGTTCTTTGTCTAAAATCAGGGCATACAATTATTGGTGCAAAATCAATGCTATAGGAAGTGATAGACACCTCAAACTCTGTTAGAATGGGCAAGAATCTCAATAACCAACCTCTTGGATTGTATAATTGACAAATTATATCATTTGTGGCCTCCCTGTTTCTTTCCAACTTTGTGCCTTTGGAGCACAAAGAATTCTTGATACTGAAGCTCAGAGCAATATAGTCATCCTTAGTAAGTCTGGCACATTGACATGGATGAGCTGCTAGAAATTACCTTCCAGTTTACCAAGTATTTAAATCTAGTAATGTGAAGGGTAAAGTATTTGCTTGAGCAAAATTAGAGCAGCTGGACACAAAAGTTAACTATGAAAAGTTTAATCAAGTCCCTTATAAAAAAGGTACTTGAATCAGCAAAGCCACAGAGTCAGAAAACATTATGTGAATGTAACTTGTATAAGAGAGAATATCTGTAGCTGCACAGTAGACAAACAGCCTATTGGGATCCTTATATCAAAACAGCATATTTTGTGTGTTTAGAATCCAAAAATTACATATATTATAATCCTTTATTTGAATAATAGAGAACTGCATACATGGGTCTGATTGGGCCGAATTGTAAAAGTGACAAAGAAATGATTTCCATTTTATTTATTTATTTATTTTCTATTTTTAACATATGGTCTTATTAATGTTGTGTTTTATATTTTGTTAATTGCGATATGGCCTAATGGCTAATCAATACAGTATTGCCAGCTATACCCATGTTCTCTTTTTTTCACAACTGTTGAGTGATTTGTTTGTGTAGTGTAGAATTCAAATAACTTTCACAACACTTTGTTCCTTGACTGTTTGAATTACTCATTGTTTGACTTTTGTTATAACTATATACTGTTGCTTGTATGTTGTAGCTTCTTTTAATTATTGTAAATCTTACTTTTTCCTTTCTCCTATAGTCCATGGCTACTTACAAAATAAATACTGGTTTCTAAGAATGCCTCTAGGCCACATTGGGATTAAGAAACTGTTATTCACAGCCCTCAAAATTGTCCCTTGCTTTGTAACATGCCCCCTTCTCCTTTTTTTCTAAACTAAAAAAAGTATTTACAAAAATTCAAGTCAGTTGTAACAGCACCCCTACAAGCACACACAATTTGCCTTGTGGCAAATTGGTACCGTTAGACACCATCTCTGCATTAAACAAGAATGACTTCTCTAAATTAAGCAGAAGTGTCTCTTCACCCCAATAAACTATGGAAAAATGTTTTAAGAATAAACTTTCTTTTTATATGTTTACAATATATGTGAATTTCTTTAAGCTAAGTGCCACTGCCCAATGATTTTTGACTATGATATACTGAACTGAGGACAATTCTTCTGCTTTGTTTCTTTCACAGAACGTTTCTTTCCAGTATCTAGTTTCTAATACAAAAACAAGTAGCTAATGGAAAAATGGATGTGCTTGATGACTGAAAAAACCCAGTGTTGATTTTATTTATTCACACAAGAATTACTTTTGAGTAGAACATTAAATGGTGGGGCTTATCCTTTAGTGCAGGGCTTTTCAACCAGTGGTATGGGTACCACCTGTGGTACATTGGCACCTGGCAGGTGGTACGCGACCATCCTAGAAAAGTGGTAGTGGGGGAGGGGAATGAGCTGAACTGGTGGCAGCACCGCATAAGCCTGAATGAGAGATGGCTGGAGCTGCAGGGCTGTCAGGGCTCAGCGGAAGCGGAAGCACCAGGATCAGTGCCAGGTTCCAGCTGGAGCTCGGCACTGATTCTGGTGCTTCTGCTGAGCCCAGAAGAAGCGCCGATCAGCTGGAATGTTAAAGCATCTCCAGGGTCTTGTGATTTACATTCAGATGCTTGGCAACTGATTCATATTTATGACGGTCACTGTCCCAGGGTCATGTGACATGACCAAAACTTGCTGCAACCACCCAGCAGACGGGGGGGGGGGAATAAAAACCAAACACCCCCCCAACCCACCCCCGTTGCCAATCCTCAATAGAAATGCTCACAACAATGAAAACCTCGGACAGGAGGAAGAGTACGGCCGGGCGGGCAGGCAGGTGTCTTGCTCAGCTGTGGCTTTTTTTCAGTGCCGTTGTAACTTCAAACAGTTACTAAGCAAACTGTTGTAAGTCGAGGACTACCTGTACTTTACCACTTTTTTCCTTTTCTTTTTTGGTCATCAAGTTTTTGACACCTTGCTAGGCGACTGGTGGTACTCGGATATTGCCATATCCTAAAAGTGGTACAATGGGTAAAAAGGTTGAAAAGCCCTGCTTTAGTGGTCATGTTTACAGATTAAGTCTGCATTTTCAGATACTTTCCCCAGATATCCAGAACTGAAAATACTACGAAGTACCACCAATCCCATGCAAAGAAAGTACCTTACTGGTAGGCACAGTATGTCCTTACACGGGAGTGTAACCTGACCTTGCATTTTACAAGACTACACACCCCTTTGCGATCTGGTCCCAACCACCGTTGTTAACCGAAGACTACAGATGAAATGGAGAGCATAGCATCTGCGGAGCCTGACCCGTGTCCTGTCGTAAGCTCAAGTCACCCCGCAACCCTACCCGAGGCCAGGCTTTTGACATTTACTCAGCAAGAAGTCTCAGCGCAAAAACCACTACGTTTGTTTGGCAACCGGAGGAAGAGAGACGTCTCGCTTTTGTCCCTGCTTTTCAACGAGTTGACAAACGTTGCCACGAAACGAGCTTTTTTATTATTATTATTATTTTTTTTATGTCGCCGTTTTGCTGGCGTTTGGTTTCGTTCCCTCCTCCGGCCCTCACAGATCAATCCGAATCCAGCTCCCCCCCCCCCCCCCCAGCTTTGCAAGCGCCAGAAAAACTTCCTCCACAGTAAAGCGTTCGCGCGCTTTCTCAGGCCCTCAGAGGGCGCATTAGGCCTCTCATTCGGCTCCCCTCCCCCCTTCCGAGGAGGAGGAGGAGGAAAGCCGCTCTCGCTCCCTTGGTAGCGCCGCGACGCTCCGCCGGGGCGATTCTGCCTTTTTTTTTTTTTTTATTGTTCGGAGGGAAGCGGGCAAAATGCCCCAACTACACAGGCCCAGGAGAATAGCCTGCGCGGAGAGCCCCCCGGAGGTCTCTGAGGGGGCGAAAGGAGGCGCTGGCCAGGCGAACCTCGGCTACTCCAGCGGGGAAGAAAAAGGGGAACCCTCCCTAGGGAGAAGCGCGGCGGCGGCGGCGCCGGACGGAGAGGACCAGCCGCTTCTGAGGGGAATTTTTGAGGTCAAGAAGAAGAGCTGCGACGTGGTGCTGCGCGCCCAGAGGCTTAGCTGGAGCCCTATCGCGCCAGAGAGCCCCTTAGGTGAGGGCTGCGCCCCCCCCCCTCTCTCTCTGTGAGGGCGTTGGTGAGAGGGAGAGCGTATAATGTCCCCCTCCCTCTCCCCCCCTCCCCCCACATCTTTCCCTCCCCCCATCTTTCCCCCACCTGGGACAAAACTCCGGCGACTAAATTTACCCGCCCATAAAGTTACTAGCCGCCGTCCTACTCGACCATTTTAATGAAATTTGAAACCCCTCCCTGCCGCCTCAGAAGTCCGCGTTGGTTTTGCCTCAGTTTTCTCTCTCCAGCCCCTTCTTACCAAGTTGGGGAGGCCATCGGGGGTGTGGCGTGGGCGGTAGCAGCAGCGAAGCTGAAGGAACGTTTTGTTCACACGTGTTGTTAACAACACGTGTTAAACGCCTGAAATTAAGGAGAAACTTCCTACGAGTGAGGACAATTAACCGGTGAAATAGCTTGTCTCCAGAAGTTGTGGGTGCTTCATCCCTGGGGGTTTTTTAAGAAGAGACCCGGCAGCCACTTGTCTCAAATTGTATAGGGTTTCCTGCTTGAGCAGGGGGTTGGGCTAGAAGATCTCTAAGGTCCCTTCCAGTTCTATTCTGATTCTGTTGCCAGTGGTGGACTACTATCTAGATCGGAAAGTAATATTGGGTAGCAGGAGAGGAGCGGGAATCTCAGTTTTTTTCTCCTCTCTTTTCTACCTGTGAAGGGATACGTGTGTGTGTGTGTGTGTGTGTGTGTGTGTGTAGGGGGGGTGGCACCCGCTTTCAAACTGCGCTTTTACCTGAATAGCACCTTTTGTCCAATGCGAAGTTTTGGAGAAATATTGGCATCTTTGCTGTATATTAAGTTGCAACCACTTTTGCAAGTGGTTGGTTGTATTTTTTTCACTGCCAAAAGGAAAAAAAAAAATCTATAAAGAGGTTTTGAAAGAAACTTGCTTTGAGTTAAATTAGTTTTGGACAATGAAATCTTGCAGTCTTGGCTGACATGCAACTCGCTTTCATTCAGTCTAATCGGCAAAGAAAGATTGCTTTACTTGTAAAGGCTGACATTTCTCTTTTCTGCTTTCCAATGGAGCTTCTTTTTCTTAATCTTAGCCCTGCCCAAATCTTTAAAAAAAAAGAAAAAAGAAAAAAAAAGTATGGCAGACTAGTGATTGAAACAAGAAAAAAATTGCTCCATTCTTCTGTAGAGGGAATAGGTGTCCCTTGTATTGGCTGTGATGGGCAGGTGTATGTACGCAAATCATACTGTTCTTAGCTTAATGCAAAGGACAGGGTGTGGTTGGAGCTGATCACGAAATGTAGTGTTTTCTCCTGGAGCAGGAAAATGCAATTTTTCATCACCTCTTGGAGCTTTTGGAAACTTGGAGCTTTTCAATAGGGGAAGATTTTGTTTATTTCACAGCCTTTCTAAACCACTCAATTCCCAATGGATGTTGGGAGGCAAATAAAACAGCAGTACAACTTAAACAAATACACTAAAATTCATATTGAAAAAAAGAAAAAAAAATCATGGCACCCCACTTCAGTTCGGACCAGAGTTTGTGGCTATTTTCTTAGTAGCTTGGTGGGTGTGTGGGGGATGATAAGTGATTTGGTAACCTAATTCCCAGACTATGCCTCCATAGAGCTGAGATAAGTAACAGAGTGGTCATTATGGGAAACTGCCAACTTACTCTGCAAGTCTGATAGGGTACTAGAGGAAAGCCCATGGAGACATGCCACATGATGCCCTTAGCCAGAGTTGGGAGTTCAGGGAGTTGATGAAATCAAAGCAAATCAGGCTGTAACTAAAACTCTAGAATGGATTTTCTGTGTTCAGAGTCAAAGAATGGGACTCTCTATTGAAGGGATTACATATGGAAGTCTACATGTAATCCACAATCTTGTGTTAACAAGATTGTTATAATTCCAGTCATGTGAGTGGACTTTCATTTGCATGATGTAGGCTTTTTTCTCCATTATTCTTGAGACACAATAAACATTATCAGGATGTAAACTTGTATCTTCAAATTTTAAAAATAATGGCAGAAAATTCATTTTCATGGGAATAAGGTTGTTTTTCATATTAAGGATATTAAGCATATTAAGATATTTAAAATATGCCCCTGATTATCTTACTTTGTGGTTGTTAGGCCACGTTTTATATGTCGTAATGTCCTATCCAAAATATTGTGATGTAAAAAACTATAGTAAAATGACAATTATCTTTGCTTGTTGACTTGTTCAACATAACAGCTCTTAGGCAAATCAATTTATGTTCTATTTTTATTCATATCACAACTTTAATCAGTGTAGTGTTTACTGAAAACATGTGAATTCTGTGAAATATAGCTTACATAATTTAAAATATGCTATACTTTTTAAGTATTAGCTTTTCCTGAACAAACTCTGGTAGCCTTTTGAGTTATTTTTATGTTCTTATGAGAATGTTCTGTTGAAACAAATGTGTTACATTGCCGGTGTGTTTGATACATACATTACCCCTCTACCATAAGGGTCTGCTATTATGTTAGACACCAGCTGATTTTATGATAGTATCAGATTTCTTTCACATATGTTTATGTTTTGTCCAGATGAACTCAAAGAACATCTGTTACTTTTGTGGTGGTATCTGCTGCTTCCTTTCAGTATTTGACCTTTTGGTTAATTATAGCTAAAAATCTGCAAAGTGTTTAGTATTATATGCTTCTCCTATGAGTTTCTTTGGGGGGTGGCAGCATGGGGGGGCAAGAATGAATGTACTTGTCCCTAATCAGCTATCAGTATCACTGAATTCTGTGAACTATTTAAATCACTTATAAAACAGCCATGGATACTTAAATATTTTGGTTTACCATTTAAAATTAAAATTACATAGTTAAATTTAATTTCATATTTGCGCTTTTCCAAGCAGAGTTGTTGATCCTCAGGAGGTTGAAAACCAGGTATTTATATTCTCATCCAAATTATGAAGCTGAAATACATAGATCAGATTGAACTACTAGAAGTCGAAGAAGAATAAGCTATATGTAGAACCTATTTTCTGCCTAAAAGTTGATTTCCTAAATAAACTACTTATACACAAAGCTGGCAGCTGGGAGAAAGAAAGCACCAACTATAGCATATATGTGTCTTAAAAATATTAAAGAATGGTAAGAATCGCAGATCTTTTGTGTTTATGAAAGATTAATATTATAAACTGATTGAAGATGACCTGTAAAAGACAAATCACATGTGTTTTTAAGTGCAATTAATCATTCCTACTGATAACTTATTTCTTTTGTAAAGTGAAAGCATTTCTTTTCCTTTAAAAAAATAATGCATTGCTTAAAAATACTCTGTTTATATAAACTAGGTTACAGAATCCCAATTTTATTTTCTAAATTTATCTAGGGTTAGACTTCACTAGACATTTCACAATTGCAACTGCAACAAATGTATGAACTGGACCATCTGACAAAAAAGAGGGAACCCTCTTTCAAATCACCGATTATATATTTTTAATAATAATTTACTATTGTAATTTAGTGTCAGTATAGGGTTGCTAATTTCTGTTTTTGGGGGGAAAATTGAATCAGGTTTTTTGGGGGGGATGGAGAAAAAATGATATTGATACAAGATGTAGTGAGAACAAAGTAGGGAAGTTGATCTTAGTGAACTTTTTTTGGGGGGGATGGATGGGTTCACAGAATCTTAAAAGCCTGTCTTTCCACTCTTAGTTCCCCCATTGCCAGCCCCCTGTGCCATATACCATCCCATTTCAAGGAGTTCTGGGAGCATATCTCCTGAAAACGCAGAAGCCACAAGGAAAGGGGGAAAATGCTCTCCAAATGAAATTTTAGTTTTGGAATTGCCCTTAATAAAAATGTTTTGAATTACATAAATTTTACTAATCCTAAGGAAAAGTAACATTTGTATATTGAATATTTAATCATTCAGGTTTTTAAATGGAAATATTCAAAGCTTCAGAAATTAGGATTGTGTACACGTCAGAAAAAATTAGGAAAAAGCTCTTCAGACCTTCCATGAGTATAATATCTTCCGGCTACTCATTAAAATAGCCCAGAGTTTGAATGGAATCTGTCTAAGCCTAAAATAGATGCAGATGCTTTAAAAAGGTGACTCATTAAAGTTAATAGAACCCTTAAAGCGGTATCAATTTTTTTTCAAACTTGCATAGAAATCTGATGTTGGGCTACTTTAATGAACAAAGAGAAGTAATCTGAAATATTTTAAAATATTTTTTGGAATGTATGCAGCTTTGAGGAAAAGAGAATAGTATACTTTCTCTATTTGTAAAATAACTTTTTCAATCTATTAACAATCATAAAATTTCCTAATCTATAATAAAAGTATTTCACCTATTTTTAAATTCATTCATTCTAGCCATTTCTATCCACTGCAGGAGGGAAGGCCTAATTATAAAATTATAAATTTTAAAAAGTAGGAGATACCAATAGTAATTGGATCAGGCTATACTGCTACAAAAAAATTGTATTTATGTGATATTTCAGTGTGTTCAAATTTACCACTAGTACTGAGGCCATGATAGCTTTTATATAATAACTAGCATTTGATATCTGAGGGTGAAGATTTTGAGGAAATCTAAACTTATAAAAACATACTATGATAATTAGCATAATTATGCAGTATGCAAGCATGATTTCTAGTTGCCTTGAACTGCAAGATGGGTAGCAAATAAATTTAATAAATAAAAGTTATTATTTCTGAGCCCGGATGACTTTCAAAATTTAATTCATGCTTTTATGTACTCTTTAATACAGTATTATATGTAAACTTGCTTATTGGCTATTTTTTTAAAAAAGGGGAAAACTGATTTAAAAAATTACTGCCATGCTTATCACCCGTACAATTATACAACATATTTTTTAAAAAAAAAATTAAATGCAAAAATTGATAATTCAGGATTTCTTTTAAGAGTAGAGTTGAAATTATATTCACTAAGTGGTGATAGCATCTGTGGTGTAAAGGAAAGTATGCTTAGATTACTTTGCAGACCTTTTAATCTCTGAAACAACAGATGTTATGTTCTATCTAGTAACGTGTATCATGGAAACAGTGATTTTTTTTTCAGTGAAATAATTACTGATCCCAAGAATACATATTTGTTATTTATTCACTGATGTATTTCGGTTACGATGATATTTTTGGGAAACAATATGTAAACTATGAAAAGAAATACTGGAAAAGAAAGATGGGTTATAATAAACGCATATTTTCTTTTTTTTCTAGTTTTTCTGATATTTCTGTGCTAATGATTATGGGCTTGAGCCTAATGTTCATACACAGATGGAGAACTGCTGTTAATAAGCAAGATAAAGCCATGTCCTTGTTAAAGGTTAATAACCAAAAGGAGAAGGAAGTCCTGCTTAATAGGAAGCTGTGAGATGATAAAAAATGAAGGAGCTGAGTAAGCTGGTCTATAGTTATACATATGACGAGGCTGATTGTTGAGGACTCTCAGCTGTTTTACTTCATGATCTCACAATGTGCAGTATTTATTAACCCAAGCTTCTTTTGTCACATCAGTGACAATAGAATAGAAATATGTCTGAGCTTCCCCTTCGAAGGAAACATACCTTGGTATTTGGAACAGTTGGCTGGGCTTTCTAACTGCTGGACTTTCTACCTGCCAAGATTGTGCCAAGACTTGGACATCTTGTGGGCAAGACATGAAATATTTGTTTTGCCTTGCTTTACCAAATAGAGATAACCCATGTTTAGAAACCAACAACTTGATTATTAAGCGAAGCAGTCATTAAGTGAAATCACGAATGTGCTGTATGATTTTACTTCAGCTTTCCTTTGCTTTATAGACCCATGAAGGTTGTAAATGCAAGGATTGATCATAAAGTCACTTTTTAACCACCTTCATATATACGAACGGCTGAATGAGGCAGTTGGTAAATGAGGACTATCTATAGAATTTTGAATGTTCAGTGTACATCAAATAAGATGAATAATATCCAAGATTTAATAAAAGAAGTGTTAATTTCTATCACAGTAATCTTGGATGAAAGCTGCACAATGAAAATGAAATTTACATACCAGAGTAACTTTATGTATAGCTGACATGTGTAGTCACTGTTCTTTTTCAGATTCATAGGTGAATGTAACTAAATATTGAGTTTAAATTTTTTATTATTAGTGAACATTCATTTATGCAGCATCTTAAATATCTATTAACAGATTTTCAATTTTAAAGATTGTATTTCTGATCCAAAAATATACAATACTTAATTTTATTCTTAATGAATCTTTCTGTAATACTGCAAGTACCTTGTAGTGGGACATAATATGGAACACTAGGGAAAAGAACACAAAATTTAAATTGAAAAGATTTTTTTTGTTCCCTGACTAATAGTAACACACATTATTTTGTGCTATGAGACGTGCAGTGCTGTACAGTATATAGTTTTTTAAAAATTAACTTCATAAATTGTGCATGACTTAAGAAAGGTAAAAGTCTTGCATAAAAAATAAATTCTGCTGCATCTTACCTAACACAAACCCAAATGTATGTATCCTTAATTGCATGTGTGTGTGTATTCATACTGCATTATCTAAATGTTTCTAAAGTAGCACACATTCTAGCTTAAGAATGGTGGTATTAGCTTTCTTTTACCAATTCTGTCATACAGTTAGGAGATACCAAGCAATGTGCACAATTAGCAAATCGGTATCTTTGCTTAGTTTACTTTTAATGCTATATAGTTTGAATAGTTTGAAACATCGATCATTAGATTTTGCACTAATTCCATTAGTAATAGTTGTTTCTATATTCTTTATATATAGAAGATAATTTGAGAAGAAACATTCATTCTTTTGTACACAGGACATTATTGAGGGATTCTGAATGGTATGAGTACTTCAATTCCTTGTTACGAATGTCAGAGAGTAGTTTTAGATGCTTCAGATGGGTATGGTTATCAGATTTCTGTATAAAGTGTTTGACATGCATTTGATTTGTACATGTCCCTTGGACTGCAAGGCGTTCAAACCGGTCAGTCCTAGAGATCAACCCTGCTCTTTAGAAGGCCAGATCCTGAAGTTGAACCTCAAGTACTTTGGCCACCTAATGAGAAGGAAAGACTCACTGGAGAAGAGCCTAATGCTGGGAAAGATTGAGGGCAATAGAAGAAGGGGACAACAGAGAATGAGGTGGCTGGATGGAGTCACTGAAGCAGTAGCCGTGAACTTAAATGGACTCCAGAAGATGGTAGAGGACAGGAAGACCTGGAGGAATGTTGTCCATGGGGTCGCGATGGCTCGGACACGACTTCGCAACTAACAACAACAACATGAATTTACAGGTTTCAGATATTCAAAAAGTCAAAGTCTATTTAAATCTTTAAATAGTATAAAGTGTAAAATAATCCAAAATTAATTCCATAATTAATGTTTATAATAATAGGAGTTACTAATCTAAATTTCTCTAATCATCCAAAGTAAGAGAGAAAATCCAGTTCTCAGTAACTATGATTTGTAGGTTTCTGTAGGTGGTTGAAATCTTCTCATGTATCCAAATATGAAGCCCAGTGGAACACACTGATTTCAATGGATTGCCAAATTGCCCATTTGTTTACACAATCTAGTAAAAACAGTACAATGCCAACAAACTCCATTGGATTATGTATTCTATTTAAGTTTGTTCACTTTTATAAGAACATATAGTTCTTGAAGAATGTATGTTCAAAATTGTATTTGTTCCTATCCCCAGCCCCACATGTCTCAAAAAGTGTAGAGTACTGTACAACCCCCCTAATATTTTTTAAAGTGTTCATATAGCTTCATTGACTCTTTTGTTGGCAGAGGTGATACTTGCCACATTGTGTAGTCTTTTTAAAATCAAAAAGATGTCTCTGTGCCATGTTGGTTCTCCACTCACAGATCCAGCATATACTGTATTAAGAAAATTTGTCTTTCTGTATAAATGTTTCTTGAAGATAGTAATTTGGTTGAAATGATATGTACCTAAAATGGTTGTTTTCTAATCAGTTTCCTTCCTTCTGACAGATATTTGCATCCCAAGTTTAAAAAGCAAAATAATAAGAATAAAAAATACCTTCCTCCTCTTTTAAATCTCAGAGTAATTATATATGAGTTGTCAAATAAATTTGGTTATTAAATAAAATTAAAATTTTGAAATGTTTGAGAAGGTTCAGTTACTTATGATATGAATGTGATATGCTTAACTAAAGTGCTTAACACATGCTGATAGAAATTAATATCATAGCCAGCCTTATTTTTGTATTGTATTTGAAGAAGTGGACATGTGCAGAAACTGTGAGTACAATTAGTGTCAAGCAGATAAATCCACCTCTAATCCTGTTTATGCTCTACATCAGGCAGATGTGCCAAAATTGATGTAGACGTGCTCTTGGCTTACAGTAATATTTTAAAGAGCTATGTAGTACTGATTTTGCTGAGGCCTTTCTTAATGTTAAATGTGATTAAAAAGAAGAAAATCTAACAAGTGTAACCTTACTTTATGAAGGTTTGTGGCCTGCTCTTATGGTGACGAAACAACAATAGCAGGAAAGACTACCTTTGTTCCTTGTAATTAAATTGATTTCAAAAATACAGTGGGAAGTGGGAGCTGAATCAAGTAAATAGCATGATATCTAATGTATACTTAAATCCCCTCTAAGAACAGATGGCACCCTGTATCCTTCTAGGTAATATGAGAGGAGAGTTAATGTTTTGAAACAGCTAGCAATAATCACTATTGTACTAATGAATGGATAATTCTTGAATGAAAAAGAAAAGTTTCCATATAAATTTATACACCAGTTTTAATTAAAAAATTAAAAGTTTTCATTTTTTAACTGAGAAATTGATGGTGAAATTCCATTCTTTCAGGTGAAGTTATAAATTTTGCAATTTCTCATTAAAATTATTTATAACTGTTTAAGATAACATTGTGTAGCCATTTGAAATTGGGGTTAACACTCCAACATTTCCTTGTGTACAGAAAAGTTGCAGAACTACCAATTCAGGTGGTAGTCTCCATAAGACCACTTACATTGGAACTTAAAAAAATATTCGTAATACACTAACCATGGTCAGCATTCTACTCTTTTTAAGGGCTGACAAACAAGATCACCAGTTTTTGGGGATGTGGCAGCAATGCAAAACAATGCAAGAGACATTCAATGTTGTCTATGAACTTCATGTTGTAAGGAGATTTTTTAAAGAACTCTTCCTATCATGGTTTTGTTGGCTGTAGACCGTTGGCTATATCAGTCCACTTGCAGCTAGATGAGTCTTAATGGCTAAAAAGTTGTGTGAAAATCAAATTACTTAGGTATGTGTTTCTATAGATACTGTTTATTTAGCATTTGTGAGAAACTTGGAGGTATGCAAAACTTAATGATTTGGGAACTAAATGTTCAGGAACACTTTGGAAAATTTTGTTCTTCTTCTGAATGAGTCTGAACCCTCTTTATTAAGAAGTAAATCCTTTGAACCAGAATCAGTTTGAGGTGTCCCTGAAGCCCATTTCTGAATTGATGAGGTTTACTGTATATTGTTCACAGTTACTTCTAGTTCTTCAGGACCTGATGGAGATCATCAGTTATCTGTCAGTAACTGTCCCAAAGGTTCTTTTTCCAAAAGGCAACTGGACTTCCTTGATTTTTTTCTGAACTGAAACTTCAAAACTGAAGAAGCTTGGATGAGAAGCAAAATGTTTTCAAAGGAAAAAAACAAGAAGGTCCAGCTGCTTTTTGGAAAAAGCACCTTTGGGTCAACCATGCCTGCATAATTGAGAATCTCCATAGACTACCAGTAACTACTTCTTGTAAATTCATGCTTGTGTCATCAGTGAGAATATATAGCCACCTAATGTTTCTAGTGAGCAATCTAATCCATTTACATACACACTGGCACTTACATACTGATAACTGCACATGATTAAACTGTATTTATTTTTTTCCTTTTCTTCAGGAGGTTCCAGGATTGGTTTACAGCGAAAGGAAAAATCTGTTGAAATGAAAGAAGTATTTTCCATAAAATTGAAACGTCGTCGTTTTGCTGGGCAAGAAAAAGGAGGCATACTATTAGGAATTACTATTTTTGCGTGTCTAAAAAAAGAAGGCAATAAACTTAAAGATACCACCATCAATCTAGGCAACATAAGTGAAGACCATTGTTACTTGTGGTATAGGTCTTTGAAGAAAATTTTGAAGGGTAAGTACTTATTTTCATATTTTCAAAAAGTTTTGTGATAAAAGATATAGCAGTAGTGTTACTGTTTTATCAAACAATATGGTCTACTGACTTTAGAAGACTTTTTATCCAGGTAAGGATAATTAAGATTTCAATAATTCTCTTAGCCATACAGTATATCTCCTATAACTGATTTGATTCATGTTGATATGATTATTATGATTTTTATTATTACTGTTATTATTTGCATTGATACACTTTTTCACATGGTGACATTACATGGATTTTATTTTGTGTATTTGGTTCATAGGTAATACTAAACTCTAATTTGTGTGCATGAAGCTCAGCTCTTTTCTCTGTCCCAGTGTTCAGCAGGAGATCAGAAACCTTTCCTTCTATTTCATTATCTGCAATTACTTGTTATTTCTGAATCCTGTACAGTTATATCATCTTTAGGTCATGCATTATATTCCTGGCTTGTTTTCCTAACCCAGGGGTGACCAACCTTTTTACCCCATTAAATTTCATTTGCACCAATGAGTAAAATATTAGTTGTGGCAGTGGATGTGTTCACACCTGATGGGATTTAGGTTTCTTCTCAAGATTTAATGTGCTTTTATCTACTTGTCTGTATTTCTGACCCCACAAATACAATTAGATCCTCATTTTTCCCTGTACATGTAATGCAGCTCTACTCCTGCTTCAAATTGATTGGTGCTTGGGAGGAGAAGGCATGTGGTTGAATAAATGTGTTCTTGTTATATGTCTCTCCTTTTGCGTAACCAATAGGCAGCACCATCAGTTAGGAGTACTCTTCCATAATTTTTGTACCAGTCTTATAGGCAGAAACAATTTGCTTAGGAAAGGGACCTTCAAGCTGCATCCAGGATTAATTTTTATCAGATTAAATAGAATGAACAACTATAGTGAAAAGGCTTCCAGTCTCCTTACAGCAATACTGGTAGGATGAGAGATTGCTGCTCACCACCTATTCCCATAGTGTTATGTTAGAGTTTAGCAGTAATGATAAATTGTAGTTTAATGATAATGAACTGTGTTCATATTATCATGCCATATCGTATTAGCCCAGTATATGCAAAAATCTTTTATCTTTGCAGATAGTCTCTTTGTCTCAAACTATCTTAGCTTGCTCTGAAATTAGTACTCATGGTTTATCTACAGGTAATGGCTTATCATTTAATGGATGTTCACAAAAAAGGCCTGCCAACCCAGGGGATAAGATTAGATATAATTCTGTTGTTTTTGATGCCACTAGGTGGGCTTTTAGTGAATTCTATTTAGGTGCTGTGCTTTTGCAGCTTTTAAAATTTATTCTAATTATTTTTGCATTTGTTTAATGCTGTGGTTTTAGAATTAATCTTTTAAACCATTTTAAAAATAGTTAAGCTAATTGCAAACCTTTCTGTTTTGAAAAATTGAATTTCTTAGTTATGTTTAAATAATAAGGGAGATTGTGTCTGACTTGGACAACATTTTCTAAACCATGTTTCCCATGAATTAATTGCTACTTATGAAGCCATCCTTATAATAACTGAGTTTGTGCAATGTTGACTTATTTATTTATCCTTCTATCCGATTTTGATGCCTCCTGATTCCAAGTGATTCCACGCAGCTCAAAGAAAAAATAGCATGACAAAAACACAATAAATACTAATACAAGAAAAATAATTGTTAAAAACGATAACTACAAGATCCAAAAATCCAGACAACACACCAGTACATATGCAAAACATGACAACACCAATAAGGAAGTTCCATCTCCTCCACCCCAAGATTTTTAGGGTCTTCCAGAATATCATCAGGGTTATTTTTATTCATTTCTGGGATCTATTTCATCATAGACATAACAGTTTCTTTGTGTCTGTATTTGAGAAGTGAAGGAATTAGGGATGACTTTGTGGGATGACTGTCTTTCTCAAATGTTTCCCACTACTCCTATAAATCAAGATCTGTAATGTCATAAATATTTGATAACAGTAACTCAGTATCCTAGAAAAAATATAATAAGCAATATATTTATGCTATCTTTTGGTCCAAAGACCAAAAGCAAATTTAGGAATAAAATTAAGATAATATTAAACAAAGTTTAACATTGTGTTGCAAATTATGAACTTTTAAAAGTCAGATAGAATTAAAATGTTTTTGCCTCCTGGGAACTGTACCAAAAGGCTCTTCAGCATCCTTGATCACTCCTACCATTTCCTGATAGCATTTTGTGATTGTGGTACTTTGGCTGAACTTTATTAATCCAACTTTAATACACAGGATTGTGTTCTCATTTATTGATTTCCTCTTTTATGCTAATTTCCTTGCTTCATTTTTCAGTATTTCAAGTACTGAAATAGAAGCATATATAATTATATAAATATATACTTTATATTACCTGACCTTCGGTATCTCATTTTGTCTCAAAAAACTGAGAATTAATTTGATTATTTATAATATTCTTATTAAGTCTATGTCTATCTAATGGCACTGTAAAAATAGATGTTACTGTATCTGCATGTAATCAGATTGTTATAAATGTTGGTTTTCATGCTAAAAACATAAAGATAAAAATAAAGTATTGTAATTAAAATTGAATATTAAAAATTAAAAAATTCTGATATTAAGGATTCTTACTTATACTAACTTATTCTTATATGTACTAACATACCTCACAACCACTTTCTTACAAAAAAGCTATCGAAGATTGTATCATATCTTAAATATTCATCATGTTGGTTTTGCATATGACCCAGGTTTATTTTAAGATGACAGGTTTTAATATATCAAAGATGATCATGTTGAACTTTATTATGCTTTAATGTGCATAGATTATGCTGTAGTGCACGTTGGTGTGTCCCATTAACAATTTTCAAAATTTTTAAATCGAAACTAAGCTTTGCAGTCCCCTGAGATACAGTTCTAAAAATATTATGAAAGATAATGTTGCTTGTTTTATGAAATGCTGCTCTAAAACATTAAAAACAGAATAGGGTCGTTTCAATGCTTTCATTGTTATCTATGATAAGGTTTTCTAACATGAAACTATATAATTTGTCTTATCTTTCAAAATCTGATTTCTAAAACAAAACAGGTTTGCAATATATATTGGTCTTTTCAGAATAAAAGTGGAATGGTTATTTATATGAGCAAGGGTTATTGAATCTCTTTTACAAGATGCCTCCCACACCAAGCTTTAATACGGGTGTCTAAAGCTTCATGCATGAAGACTAAATTATCCCATTAATGTTATACATTAACAGTTGTAACATCAACTATGTTTTATCTCTAGTTAGGATGAAAAATGTTTATTCATGTCATTATTACTGTCTCTATGTAGCAATTTTCTTATTGCTAGTGGTATAACAGATTAATAATATATATGACAGTGACATCATTTCAGGCTCCTAACTTTGGTAAACATAAACCTGCTGCCATAAAACTAGATACTGAAAGCAGCACAGATGTGTGTCTGAGGGTAGCGTCCCTGCTGCCCTAGGAGCCTTTGTTTTCAGAACACCCTGATTAACCCCTACTTTTCATGGTTCATTGATTCATTCACTGATAGATCAAGTTTAAACTAGTGCATATTAGCACATTTGTTACCAGCAAAGGAACAGTTGGCTATAAAAGCACTAGTTCAGTTTAGGGAAGAAAGCTATAATAAATTAAATGTAGGTTCTGATGCTGTCAAAGCTGTACACTAGCTTCTGTATGTTTGCAGTGAGAGCTGAAACTCTTTAACACTTAATATTTAAACATATTAAGTTGTTTATTAAAAGTTGGCAGAATAATCTCATTGGGGAAGAGGAAAATATGTTAGATGATTTTATGAGGTATGCCACCCAGTGTCACTTCTGAGATGGGCAGCTGTAGAAATCAAATAAACTAGGAAATGTTCAGAGTATTATTAATACTTTGATAAGGTTTTTGCTAATTTAAAGTCCAGTGGTATCAACTTGAGTTATTATGATTCATCAGACTAAGGATAAGCGTCGTTTCTGCAAAATCCTGCCCTGGCACTCCCTCCCTTGCCCTCTGTTTAGGTTATTAAATCCAATGACTGAAGCAGCTTACACAAGAAACGAGACGGGCAGCCCTCTTTCCTGTCTCCATACATTGATTGTGTTAGGAACTCAGCTCCCAAACCTAGAACTCTTCTATAGGGTTCCTGATGTTCATTTGATCTGAATCCACTCAGTCCTTTCCTGCTCATTTCCTTAACCCAAAATCTTGGTACTGCCTCAGATGCATTTTTAAAAGTTATTTACAATCCACTTCATTTGTTATGAAGAAAGAGACAATCTCCCCACATTTAGAGATGCAGAGATGAGCGTGAGAGCCTCACACATTGTATCACCCTCCATAAATGAGAGTGATTGTTTGTTGCAGAGGGCCTCTTCTATTTCTTTATTGAAAGCTCTTCAATATATTGTAAACTTTGCTTTTTCTAGGTCTTTAACTGTATGACAACTTCAAGAGATAAAACAACCTGCCTAGTGCAGGTCATTCTTTATGTAAGGCAGATAAAGGAATAAAGTGGAACGCTCGGCGTTTTTCATAATAGTGGAAGAGGTTTAATCAAGTTTGTCTGCCTGATTAATGCTTATCTGAAATGAGCAGTTTTAGTTTTGCAAACTCTATTTGGATTTTTTTTGTTTAATTGGAACAAATAACAGAAAAAAAATCCCAGAATAAAATAGAATTCCCAGTTCTTCAAAAACAGGTATGTTCCTGATTATATTGATGTTTTCTTCATTTCTGAGTTCTATTTTAGGGTCCTTATATATGGAAGGAATGTTACTGAAGCTGTGAGATAATTGGAAATAAGTGATCTTTGCTTACTAAGCACAAATTATCCTGAGAACTATCAGTAAATTGAGAAATACTTTCTGCTTTTCCCACAGATGTATAGGCCTTAAGGATGTAGGGCCATCTGGATTTTAGGGTAGGAGAAGAAAAAAATAACTGACCTAGCTGAATGCTTGAGAGAAGGAGGACCAATAAATTAAACAGTGATTTGGACTCTTTTATATAAGAAAATCTAAATAACCATTCAAGAATAAAATCAATTCACACTTGACAATTATGAATAGATGCAGAAGATTGGTAATGCAAACTTAATGTATGTGAGAAAAGAGGCACAGTTTTCTCCTATAGAATCAATTATTTTCTGTGAAATAAACAGAGAAAATACATTTAACATTAAGGAATAGTCTTTCTTTGTGAATCAGTATGAAATTATAGCCCACAGCACCAAAACTCATGTTCTTGAACCTCGTTGTCTGCTGGCTTCTCTTTAGAGAATAAACCTTGGTGCACCATCAGCCAAACCATCTTTACAAAAATGACAGTACCAAGAATAACTCGTTACAGTGTGTAGACAAAATAATCAAAGAAGCTTACAGGTAGTTCTTGACATACAACCATTCATTTAGTGACTGTTCGAAGTTACAATGGCACTGAAAATGTGACTTTTGACAGGTTTTCACACTTAATGGCCGTTGCAGCATCCCCATGGTTATGTGATCAAAATTGGGTTGCTTGGCAACTGGCATGTATTTGTGACAGTTGCAATGTCCTGGAGTCATGTAATTACCATTTCTATCGTTTCCAGCCAACTTCTGACAAGCAAAATCAATGGGGGGGGGGGAAGCCAGGTTTGTTTAACAACCACATGATTCCCTTATCAACTGCAGTGATTTGTTTAACAACTGTGGCAAAAGTCATAAAATGGGGCGCAACTCATTTAACAATTGCCTCGCTTAGCAATGGAAATTTTGGGCTTAATTGTGGTAAGTTGAGGACTATCTGTACTACTCTGATAAATATATTACTGATTGAGCTAGAATTTCTTAAATTCTTTAGGCTATGATAGGGTTCTCAAGTTAGGCTCTGTTCTCTTACTACATCCATCCAAACTGAAGAAGGGTGCAATTGTGATACTTTAAAAAAATAAAAATTAAAACTTTTTCCTGGGTTTAGGATGGCTAAATCGGAAAGTTAACTCTTGTACTGCAGAACAAATACACGTTTGCTTTTGTGAAATCCCACCAGAAATAAATATGAATAGAATTTGTGATGAATGAAATTAGTTTTGAGATAAAGATAATTAATAATTTATTTTTTTTAAAAAAAATAGGAAAATAACCTCGAAATTTTATTTCAAATGTGAATGAAATTGCGTTGATTTTGCAGATCCTTTCACCTCGTGCCCTTTTTAAAAATCTTTTAATCAAGGGCAGGTTTCTTTTGCACCTGCTCCTTCTGTGTGGTATGATACATAATCTGCAAATCCTGAAAATTGTAGTATCAAATCTCTGCACCAACTGTGAAGGAGTACTATTATCAAATCCTGGCTGAGAGGCACTTCCTCTTATTCTCCCAGGAGACAATTCTCTTCTCACTTTATCACTCTGCCTCTTTTCAGGTTTGAACTATGACCTAAAATCTTTTTTTATTATTATAGCTGCTGCATAATGCTCTTGATGGTGACTGACTCACTTAGAGTAGGTATTGTTAGCTATAAACACACAAGTGGGTCAGCGCTCTAGTTGTATCAGGATTATACTGGAGTTGGATATAAGTAATGAGCATGCTAGCTCCCTCCCCCCCTGCCATGTTTATGAAGAACTCTGAAAGCTGCAGGGTGCCAAAAATGCATAAATATCTGCCTGTTGCCATTGAAACCGTACTTTCTGTTATCAAAGGTGCTGTGACATTTATTTGTTTTTAGGGTTTCCAGATCGGCCAAAGTCATTAAAAGTCTTTATCAATCCAACTAGCCATAAAAAAGAAGCTACTCGGATTTATTATAAGCAAGTTGCTTCCCTCTTCAAACTGGCTGACATCACGACTGACGTTACTGGTAAGATGCTTTAGAGACTTCGGTTTAATCCATTAGTACATTGCACGAGTCGCTAATACCGGAGATATTTGTGTTTCAGTGGATAGGCTGTGACAAAGTATGTCCTACTGAATTTTCTAGGGCAGTGATGGCGAACCTTTTAGAGACTCAGTGCCCAAACTGCAACCCAAAACCCACATGCATCGTCGAGTGCCAGATGGATGTGGCCCATTGGCTGGGTGTGGCTGCGGTGGTAACGGCAGACTGGGTGGGACTAAAAGGTTCTATCAATTCCAACTTTGCAAGACCTTTTTTTTTCCCCGCGAGAAGTTGAAATTGACTGATTGAACCTTTTTTTTTTTTTTTTTTTGCACATGGCAGCGGAGGCCTAAAGCCAAAAGGTTTTATAAAACCCAGCTGAAGGCCTAGGACTGGGGCAATGGCGTGCGTGCCCATAGAGAGGGCTCTGAGTGCCGCCTCTGGCACCCGTGCCATAGGTTCGCACCACTCTTCTAGGCCTTATTTTAGGAGAGGAGATAGATATTAGCATAGTATAAAAGCAGTCTGGCAATCCAGAGACCCGTTTGCACAATCCCTATTGAACAGAGCACATTCTTTATCAGAGGTGGGACTGGTGTCCTATGAAAGTCCCTTTGCCTATTTTTCCTTTTTAAATATTTTCATTTTGGAAATATAATGTTGGCTTTCCCTGATTATTTAAAAGTATTAAATATTTATTGAATGTTAGACAACCCATACTCCTTTGGGTCATCGGAGATATTTCCTTACCTAAATAGAGAAACAGAGTGACCACGGGTGGGCAAAAAAAGCAGAGGGAGTGAGAGCAACTTCTGACTTCCTGCCAGCTTCCCCATTGAGTTACCATGTAGGAAGCGGGCAGGGGGCATCAGAAATCTCCCTCCCTCCCTCCCTCTCCTTTCCTCCCTCCAGTGGATGGCATAGGTTGGGAATGGTGTTTGCAGGGGTTCCTTTCTTCCTTCCCTTCCCATCAGGCAGGCACTGTAAGTGGCTGTAGTTGGATGGAGGAAGGAAGTGAGGGATTGTGTGAGGAGCTTGGAAATTGTCATAGAACGTTGAAAATGATCACATGACTATAGCAGCAGCCCAGCAGCATTGAAGCAGCAGCAGGCTGGCACCAATGAAGCAGCCTCAACTTTCCCAAATTTCATTCCCTTGGGAATCCTGGGTCCTGGGTTTTGGACATATTCTGTAAGTTAGCCCCTTTGAGGTACCTTGGTTCAAAAATGGTATGCCTCATGTTACAGCTGGTTTAATCTATTGCGGCAAATTATTACTAGTTTTAAAGTAGAAGTGAATTAAACTTTTTAAATTGAGATGTTCACATTAAACATACGCCATATATTAAAATTCTGTGATATGTAATAATAATTCAAAGAGTACTGCTGGGTTTATTGGCTAGCACTCCTCCTACAGGAGAATTCAACAAATTACAAGGATGTCGGGTTTATTGAAGTAGTTATTTTTGCAACAGTATAATTTGATAATCTTCTTACATTGACAATCACATAGGAATATATTCTTCCAAATAATAAACAATGAACTATTTAAACATATCAATTTAAAATAATTGTTTTTCACATATTTGAGTTCATGGTACAATAAAAATAAGTTAACTAGACTATAATTATTTTTTGTAGTTTTAGGGTTAAGTTAATTAGATTATAATAAATGTTTGTGGCTTAAAACCTTGTAAAGCATGCAACCATAGAAATAACTCAATTCTGAAGCTTTGTAGTCCAGGCAGTTTAGCTTTGGCAGACTTGATTACTTTTACATCCTGGAGTTTCCCCTAGGATGAGTCATAATTAAAATTAACAATATTTCCTGCTTCATATGCAATAACAAAGCAGTTGAAAACAAGAGCAAATACTTCATATCATCTTATTGCACTACCAAAATGGGCTTGTATTTTGAAGGGCAGCAAAGCATCATGTTCCAGCATACTCTATCTCAGTGGTGGCGAACCTATGGCACGGGTGCCAGAGGCGGCACTCAGAGCCCTCTCTGTGGGCACACACGCCATCGCCCCAGTCCTAGGCCTTCAGCTGGGTTTTATAAAACCTTTTTGCTTTAGGCCTCCGCCGCCGTGTGCAAAAAAGGTTCAATCAATCAATCAATTTCAACTTCTTGCGTGAAAAAAAAAGATCTTGCAAAGTTGGAATTGATTGATTGAACTTTTTAGTCCCACCCAGTCTACCGTTACCACCACAGCCACACCCACCCAATGGGCCACACCCACCCAATGGGCCACACCCACCCGGCACCCGACGATGCATAAGTGGGTTTGGGGTTGCAGTTTGGGCACTCGGTCTCTAAAAGGTTCGCCATCACTGCTCTATCTCATTGCAGTCAGCTCTTTGCTGTGTATTGTTTTCTATTTGTTCTCTTTGATTCAGCAAGAGAAAAAGGATGTATGACTTTGTTATATTAATTATTCAGTAGTCAATAGATTGGAATGTATCATTCAGTCTGTTGTATCCATTAAGTTCTGTTCTCTAGGCAACTAAGCCAGTTTGATGTGATAGTTAAGGCACTAGGCTAGAATGGGTGGGTGATGGGCCAATTCCTCTCTCTCAGCTCCAGGAAACAAGCCATGGCAAAAATCTTGTCAAGAACACTACAGGGACTAGTCAAGGCAATTGCCAGGAATCAACACTTATTTGAAGGTGCACACATACAGGTAATTGGAAAGTTATGGCTGAGCTATAAATATATCTTCCCAATGTTTATGTATCCCAGTGATACATAAAATCACTGTATTGTTATTTGAACGTTCTATCAACTCATCTGCTCAGCTTTGAAGTATGAACAGGGAATGATCGTGTTAAAGTGCTGCTTCTGGGCTTTGCACAATATTGCTCTGGCCTTTAAGGTTTGGATATGGTGTGACACAGGCAGTGCTAATTTTAAATGATATTATTTGATACAGTAATTTGTTTACTCACCCTTAAAACATTTTACTTACTATAATGAATTAGGTGAGCTGCAAAAATAAATCATATTAATTTATTACATTTATTAAACTATAACATGTAAAAATATTAAAGCATATTGATGTTGGAATTTTACAATGATGCTTCATTTATCCATTGAATTTAAACATCTACAAAAGCACTGGAAATGATGGAACACACTACACCAAAGACAGCTAAGCATGAAATATTAATGCAATCTTGGATATAGTAATGTACATTGTTACACAAAAAATCCATCTGGAATTGTCTTATCAGTCACCAGAAACTTTTGACGAGTGGCTACAGCTGGGCTGCCTCTTCTGGCAACCATGGCCTAGAAAATTGTACATGTGGTTATAACATCTGCATTATGCCACTTAATTCTTTATTTGCTGATGTTTATTGTACTGCATATAATAGCAACCAACATCAGCAATATACATTTAAAGATTCATTTCCTCTGAGGCCACAAATTCTGATGTCTATGTGATCCATCAGCTTCTTATATTATTTTGTTACCAGGTTCCCAGCTTTCTTCTTTCTTCTTTACTTTCTCCATTTTCATTTATTTGTTCAAATTGAGGCCAATATTTATCTTTTATATAATAATAACTAAGATAAAGGGATTATATGTAGTAGAACTATTTCTATTAGAAATAAAATCTGTTTTCTCTTGTTATAAAAGAACAAACAAGAGGCAGATGCAAAAGGTTGTATTTATCATGGAAGCTTATAGTATCTCAGGATTCTTTTAATCTAGAAATATGTTTTCTAATATATTACAAGAGTTAAGTTGAGCTCATTACTCTATCATACAAAATCTCAGAAAGTTTGTCAATTCAAATTTTCAACATTTCATCAGCAAAGTTCTAATAAAAGAAACCATTTTGTAGTTGGAAGAAATCATACTGTACCTGATTAGTTAAATCATTAAGTTTTAGAAACTCTTGCCAATGTGCTGTGAATCAACCTATCAACAACGGTGTGCGAAATGTTTTGAACGACCCATTTTGCATTTGAAACCATTGTTTCAAATTCAAAACAGCTGCTTGCATTTGAAATAGGTGATTTTGATTGTTTCGGTAATATTTTAAATTCTGAATATTTAAAAGACTCCAAAATGATTAAAATATCCCATCCTTACAAATGCCTTATATAAGAAAGAAACCACCAGGCAGATATTGCTGAGGATATGTTGTAACTGGGGGCATAATGCTCAAAAGTCTATTCTTTTGCAGAATATCCCAGAGCACACAGAGAAATTCCCAGAGGATGGGCTCCAGCATGAGTCTGAAAGCTCAGAAGACAAAACTTCTGGTCCCGCTGACCGATCCAGATTGGATCCTTTAAGAATTGTCTACCTTTAAGAAGTTCAATACTGCTGAAATGGGCATTAATTGTTTTAATCTTACAATGAATTATAACGGGGTCTTTCTTTTTGCATACCGTAGTTACTGAATATGAAGGTCATGCTCTTACACTGCTCAAGGAATGTGACTTAAATTCTTTCCATGGGTAAGAATTTTTAATTTTTTTTCTTCTTATTTAAGAATGCTGTTAATTTGGGAAAAAGGCAACTGAGCACCAGTCTTTTTTTTACAATTTGTGAAATGTGTGCATTTGTTTCTTTGTTTATATCCTGTCCAAATTACACAGACTCTGTGTAGCTCACATAAAATTATACTACCATAGAACAATTTAGAATAGTACAGGGGTGTCAAACTCAATTTCATTACCGGCCACATCAGCATTATGGTTGCCCTCAAAGGGCCAGATGGGTGTGGCTGGCTGGGTGTGGCCAGGTTGCCATGATTAGGTAGGCGTGGCTGGGTAGGTGCAGCCAGCTCAGTCCCACTTCCCTGAGGGGGTGTTTGGCCACGCTTACCTCCTCAAGGCTGCTGCTGCTGTGCTCAGCTCACCCAGCCAGCCACACCCACCCAGCCAGGTTGCTCTTGGTGGATATGGGAGGGCACTGGAGGGGTGAGGCTCACAGTGCCGCTTTGAGGTAGCTGCTTCATCCGATGGGTGGTGACAGTGGCTTCCCCTCTGAGCTCACAAGCATCCCAGGCTGGAAGAGAGCGGAGGGGCGGCAGGGCTACTGCTGCTGCCAGTGCTGCTGCTGCATAGGTGAGGCAGGTGGCGGGGTGGGGCGGGACAGGGTGGTCTGGCTGCGGGATGCTAAGGTGCATGGGTGCAGTGCAGGTGGGACAGGGCTGAGCGTGGCTTATTGGATGCCCAGAGCTCACATCCAGCTGGCCATATGCTGCCGGCCATTGAGTGGCTGAGGGGCCAATGAGCTGCAGCTGTTGCTGGGCACTGCCAGCCCTCGCGCACTTGCTGCCTCCTATGCGTCTTGCGCAGGCCACACCCGCCCCAGCTCCGCAAAGGCAAAAAATGTGTTACCTCACAATACATCACATGACACAATTGAGTTTGACACACGTGGTCTAAGGCATTTCATCTGATAGAATTCATGTCTTTTTTACAAATATTTAATGAGTTTTTGAAAAATTAATTACTGTTACAAATGGGATGGCTTTTTAATTATAATGAGAATGGCGGTATTTTATATAATTCATTATTAGGACGCAATGCAGATTGTTGGTAGAGAAAATTGGAAAAAAGGATTGCAAAGGAGGAAATTGGGTGATTTTTTCTTAAAAAAATGTATATTGGGTGACCATTCTTATTAGACTTCACTAATAAAAAAAAAGTCAATGTGGAAGTTATTTAGTTTGTAGAGATAAAAATTAAACTTGAGTAATAAGCTATCTGGAAAAGATAATACATTTGTAGTAATATCTAATTCTTGACTCTAAATTGTCTTACTGTACGTGTATTATTTTACAATTCATTATTTTGTAGGGTGGTTTGTGTTGGTGGAGATGGCACTGTTAGTGAGATTGCTCATGGTCTTTTGGTTAGAGCCCAGATGGATGCTGGAAAGAACTGTGACAATGCACTTGTACCAGTCAAATCACAACTTCCACTTGGGATAATACCAGCAGGTAAGAGTGCATAGTTATTAATATGAAGAAGGTTGCATGAATAAGAAACACTACTAGATTTGAAAATAGGTACAGTATTATGATTTTTGAAAAATGCATATTGTTTTGCTGTTATTTTCTTATCTTTTGCTTCAGATGAACCCATGATACGTGGCTTGGCTTGTTAATTCAGTAGTCTTTAGCTATGGGAATTATTTCCTTTGTCATTCTCACACATTTAAGTATGGTTCTTATAAAATCAGTCCTTGCCCATAATGTAAGAACCATTTATAGAAGTACAGTGTAGTAAACATACTGGTCTCTGTTTCATTTTATGAACAATGCTGAAAAAACAGCACACCTGAACCACCTTGGTTAATCGTGGAGAGATCCATGTGCAACTCTGTGAGAAGGTCCTTCTACAGCTTAATCTATTAAAAGGTGTCAGATAATTCATATTACTCATCAACTATAATGATTTAGAGGCAATGTTCTATCTATGTGCTACTTCATCAGTTCAAAAGTAAAATTTTAACACAAAGAGAAGATTGCCATTCTTTCTCCCTTTTCCTTATATGATACACAAGGAGAAAAAGAATCAGTGCTCCTGGGGGGATGATACATGTCTTTCTCTGTTTTGTGCATTTCCAATTGACAAATAAAGGTATTTTCGGAGTAGGAGTAAATTGGTTGGTAGGTGAGAAACGTGAAATTATGTAAATTATAAGAAAGAAAGTAACTGATTAAACACCCTGATTGTAGCTGGTAGAAAATTGGTCTAAACAGAATGAGATGGCACTTTCCCAGCATTTTACTCTCTGTCTTTTAAAGTTTTTTAGTTACTGGTATTTTAAGTAGAGGTGTATCAGGAGTGAGTGAGAAATTTTGTGTCATTATAGATATGTGACACAAATAAAAGCTCTCTCTCACTTTTGTCAGGCAAGAAGGAAGTAAAATTTTAAAAAAATTGTTGAGCATAATACATCTATTAATTTTTAAGTTTGTTTTAAATTTAGTCAAGGTAGACTATAGTAGCCTATAATCCAAAGACTATAAAGTAGTTTTTTTCCCTATTGAAAATTGTTGGTATTAGAATCTTTGTTTCATATATTTTTGGAAATTATAAATGACTAAATATAAATTTAACTGTAAAAATAGAATTTTGAGGAAGGTGTTTATATGACCCGTTTCCTAAATTTTAATAGGGAATGTATACTAAATTGTTGTTTCCCATATGTATATCCTCACATACATCCTACTTACTTGGGCAAACGTGTCTGTATGAGTTGAGATCTATATCAAATAAATTTATACTACAGACAAAAGAGATCAGATGAAGGATGGCTACAATTGACTTGCTGCCCTTTTAGAATAGTGTTTGTCTCTACTTAGTTCCTTAGCTTTTATTCACATAAAATATGAATATGAATGATAGCTAAGGAATTCAATAGATATTCTTGAATAAGGAGTGAACGAAATTAGAAAGACAAGGGAAAAAGAATGTAATTGCCATAAAACAAAAGAAATTTATATATTGACTATATAATCTTTCAGCTTTAAATCACTCATTTGCAATGTATTTCTGCTTCCAATTAATTTGTGGAGAGTAAAATATTGTTATGAGATTTAGCTTCCATTATGCATAAAGCATCATAGTGTTGGTGCAGTTTTCATGAGACTCTTAGATATGCATGACTAGGAAGTCATTACATCACATTTATCTATTTGGATGTGGGACACATTAACAGACTTATGAATATTCATGATGTCTGGTTAATTAAGTTAATTGTTCTGCAGGATTGCTTATACTTCCAAGGACATTTCCCTTCACAATTTCTGTCTGGTACCTTATCAGTCACGCTTTACATACACTACAGATACTTTTGTCTTTACTCTTGCTGTTTGGTATTCTTGGGAATGAAAATTGGTTAGTAAGTTATTATTAGCATTAAACAGAAAAGATTGTAGATTGTATCACTTCTTAGAATATATGTTTGGAACATGGTGTGAGAAAAATGGCCACAGATTAAACATTTCTATGATAGCTATTAATAAGTTGTTCTTAATATTGCTACTCAGAGCGATCACTAGGGAAATAAAATTTTAATTCTCCCAAGAAGTAAGTAGCCTTTATTTTCAGTTATGTGTCAAATATTGTAAGTATAAAAGCTTGCAATTGTAAAGATTTGATCAATATTTATTATATACTAATACCGTTTCAGTGCCAAATAAAAGTTAATCAACAGAATAGCAATTATAATGATAAATAAAACTGATGTACTACTAAAACTCTTGTTTCTGTAACCTTTAACTGGGTGAAATAGTGTATCGTAAGGGAAGAACTGAGTGAAATGGTGTATCATAAGGGAAAAATGTTTGTTTCATATATTTTTGCAAAACGTAAATGACTAAAACTGAGTTCAACTGTAAAATTAGAATTTTGAGGGAGATTTTTTTTATATGACCTACCTTCTAAATTTTAATAGGGAGAGTTCAAATGGGCTAACTTACAGAATGCATCCATGAATCCCAAGGGAATGAAATTTGGAGAAACTGTGGCTGCTTTAGTGCTGCTGGGCTGTTGCTGCAATCATGTGATGCTCATTTTGAATTTTTCAACCATCCCTCGCTTTCTCCCCCTACCAGCAGCAGCCACCTACCTGCCTGTTTGGAAGGAAAGGAGAGGAATAGGAAAAGAGGGAGGAAGGAAGGGATCCCAAGCATCCTTCTCAGTCCACTCCACCTCTCTGCATGCTTCCCCAACTATGCACCCCCCTTAACCTGGATGGCCCCTCTCACACACCCCTGCAACCTTCCCCCCTTTCTTGACCTGTGTTGGCCTTGTGCACCCTATCCTATGAGTCACACACCCGTCTTGACTCATGTGGCACCTCTCATGCACCTCCTGAATCCCTCCCTACATGGCAAGAGCCACTTACCTGCCTGCTGGCTTTGGATTTGCAGCTTCCTTCTGGCTTCCCCATTGACTTCCTACAAGCTTCCCACAAGCAAAATAAATGGGGAATCCAACAGGAATAGGAGGGAGGGAGGGAAGATTTCCAATGCTCCCTGCAGCTTTCCGCAAGGAAACTCAGTGGGAAAGCTAGCAGGAAGAAGGACATTTCTCAGTTCCCATTGCTCTTTTGCCCACCTGTGATCATTTTAGGCAATGATCTCTTAGGTTAGGCAATATCTCTGAAAAGTTAACTCAATAGGGCAAGGGATATCTAGCAACATATAATTCTCAATCTTTGCTTAGAGAAGAAAAGTATATGAAATTATTAGTTAGGATTTGAATCAGAAGTACAAATACTTTGTTCATACATCGCAATAAAGTGTTATTTACTTAATTGATGAACAACAGCTGGCTCACATAGAGCAATAGGTCAAACCAATAAATAGGCCCAAACTGCTTAAATTATGATTTCTGGGGTCTTAATAACATAGTTTACTAAATTCAAAACTCAAATTGGAACTCCTTCAGTACAATTATCCTGACTTTATTAAGTACTCTTATTTGCAAAATCATTATTATATTCAATGTCATTAAACTTTTTTGGTTCTTTATACTTAACTGTGGGAGTTCACTTTTGTTCTCTACCCAAAACAATCAGAACTTGGCTTGTTTTGAAGATCCCAAGGCACAGATCTTGGCACAGAAAAATAAATCCTACCAAGTAGTTATTTAAAAATAAGCATTTCATTGATTCAGTTAGTGCAGAAATGGAATAACAGTTTTTAATAGTGGCATCTGCAAAATCAAAATATAAATGAAGAATGAGTTCAATGTTATACCTTAAATAGTTAGATCCTCACTTGAATTAAATGCTCAAGACTGAGAAAAAATATGGTCAATAAACATAATCTGATTGTTGAGTTCACAACTGTGCCATTGATAAAAATGCATGTTTAGATACAGAAGCAAGCCATAGTTTATTAAATCTTTCTTTAATCTTTCTTTACTCTAATTTGGAGATCTTTCTACGTTTGTAAATTTTGTTTAACAATTCTTCATGCTGATTTAGAGAATGTATCCATAAATATTCTCCTACAAAGAAGTTTCACTTTGCTTTTTTTTGTTATTCTCTCTTTAATATTTACAGGTTCCACCAATATTTTGGCACATACTCTGAATGGAATCCAACACACACAAACAGCAACCTTTCATATAATATTGGGTAAGTATTGCATATAATATTGGGTATGTATCTGAAATCTTAGAAAGGAATAGAATAATAAATATCCAGTGGCCTTGCTTTTTATACATGGAATAAAAAAGAATTATAATCATAAAATTATGATTAAGATCTTCTATGGGATGGAACGTGCTTTTTGGAATGCTCTGTCCCCTGCTTTTGTTTATTTTTATTTATATAGCTGTTTTTAATTTATTGCAATGTGACAGTTGTATTGGGTGCTGTTTTCATTGACAGTATGTGTCCCATTTAAGTGCCATATGTGCTGTGGTAGTCCCTCGGGGGATCATGCGGTACACTCCTCTTGATTTATACAAACACAGGAGTGCACTGTGCATCTTGTATAAAATTATGTTCTAGGATTTTGATCCTCCAGCCCCTATATAATTAACGTACAATAGAATTAGGAAATGAGTTCCCTTATAAAATGTACATATACATATGTATACATGCGTTTATATTAATGCTACAATTTTAGGGCATCTAAAGTCAGTGGATATGTGCACTTTCAGTAGCCCTATCAAGCTACTTCGCTTTGGATTCTCTTCTATGTTTGGCTTTGGATCAAGGACCCTCGCTTTGGCTGAAAAGCACCGTTGGATTCCACCAAATCAGCGTAAAGATTTTGCTGTAATCAAGACCCTAGCAAGCCTCAAGTAAGATGAATTTGAAATCGTTGTTGCATTAATCTAGGAACAAGTAATTATGTGGTACAAATTAGATTACATGGATTCTAGTTTTAGCAAATTACAAAAATGGTAAAATAACAGTTTTACGTCGTGGTGAAGAGAAAACAGCAGCCTTCTTGTGAGAAAGCCATAGCACGAGTGCCTGCAGATTCAGTGTCTGCTAAGCGTAAGGCTGAAGAAAGCGGGGGGGGGGGAGTGTTGGAGAAGAAGAAGGTTGAGGGCGATGGCAGATGCCAGAGGATGACAAAGAGAAGCCTACAGAGAAAGCACCTGCTGGATGATCAGGCCTCTATAAACAAACTCCCCCACCCTTCTGTGCTTCCTGGCTGGGATTCAGTCCATCGCCAGGCAGAGGGAAGAGGGCTGGTTCCTCATGCTGGAAAGCCTTCCTTGGAGGAAAAGAAGGGACCGGAGGCTGTTCAAATAATGGCACTGCTGGTGTGAGAGCAGGTGAACAATCCTCAAACTGCTGCTGTCAGATCCACTTAGTTTCTTGGTTAGTTATTTTATTTTGACTGTTACTGTGAGTTATTGGTTTGGACTGCTGGATCACTTTATGTTTTCAACCCCTTGAGTGCTCAAGGAACTGGAAAGAATAAACATCAGTACGTTCTCTATGTCTTGGAGAGTTTCTGTTATTCACCAGTCAGCTCTTTACCTCTGTGTTTACAAGGATCTCTGCCACGTAGGTTAATGGCTAACGTTAAGGAATAATTCTGTACCCGTCTGCCCATCCATGGCCATCTCGCTCTTTCCCTTTCAGTAAGTAGTGTTATGCAGAGTGAGAAGTGGTGAGCTAAAAAAAAGGCAGGAGTTAAGAGAAGAAAAAGGATTTCTAACTAAATGTAGTCTACAGCAGTGGTTCTTAACCTGGGCGGTACCGCCCCCCAGGGGGCGATTTCATTTTTCAGGGGGGCGATGGAATGAAAAGGGGCGGCGTGGGGGCGATGGAATGAAAAGGGGGCGATAGGGGGGCGATGGAGCAAGATGTTTTGGGGACACTTTTGAGCCTTCCCCTGCAGCTCCGAGCGTCCTCCGCCATTTGTAGAGAGAGA